AGAACAGGCGCATGTCCACTTGAAATGTGAAACACATGTTGTATTCAGGTTAGCCATTAATTTTTCTCTGGACTTAACAGGATGTTGTGGGGAGCTGAGTAACCAGACAAGCGCTCATATCTTATCAGTTTGATTCTCAGTCTAGGATTCATGTATCAGTTGGGAATGTTGCTGGCTCTTTTTACCAGTATAAAGTATTTGTCTCATGAAAACCAGCTTTTCCTCCCTAAAAAAGGAACTCAATTTTTGTTATGTGATTGAAATTAAGACTATGACCTACAGATTCACATTCAGTCCTTCAATCTAGGAAAATGAAAAGACAGGCAAGTAAATCAGTATCAGTCGCTGTGCACTTGGTAAGATCTCTGCAATAGATATTGCTGTATCAGGAAGCAAACTGATGTCTGTTCCAAGCCCACGGATCACCACAGCCAGAGGGCTCATTAGTGCCTGTTCATTACTCAGGATATAGCCTTAAAACGATAAGGAGTAACTGCTACTGATACTCATCATGAGGGGTTGCCTCCAGAATTTTGTCACAGTTATAGGTGCCTTGATTTGCTGATGTCAATATGTTGTCATGAGTGGAGAAAGGAACTAAAAAAGTCAAGTGCTCACGTCTTGCCAAACAACAAAACAAAGCTCAACCACTGTGCCTAAATTATATCAAATAAAATAATCAACAAGTTCCCATAAAAAGTAACATCCAACTATCAGAAAGGCAGAAATCATGAACCAGTTTTATAGGAAAATTTTTTTAATATAGCTTTGACTCTTCAGGTGAGTTTAACTCTGATACATATGAGATAGCTTCTAGTCAGTTACTGGGGGGGACAGTCTAAATGGTAACACTGGTGCAATTTCAGTTACACCATTCAGAGGTTAAAAAGCATGTAATAATCAGAGAATGTTTTAGGGTTCTCAAAAGAAACTCAAACTAACTGATTTTTCAATAGATCGCTAAAGTTGCCTGATGACTGTGGTAATTCTTTGGCCATAGGAAACAGAGCCGTAGCCATTAAGCAATAAGTAACATCTGAAGATGGGATTAAAATTAAGAAAATTATAGTTACCGCTCTTGTAAAGTTGAGCTCTCTCAGAAAATTGTTCTACCCAAGTATCCAGAATATAGCAAAAGATCTGTATGTAACCCTCTTATACTGTAATGTAGCTAAGATTTGAGACAAGAGGAAATATATTCACTATGGGCAGGTGCTAACAGGGAGAAACCTTCAAAATCTACTCTGTGTTCACATTCTTCAGGCTTCACAGCAGTTAAATTCATGCCAAAGCCAGGTATTTCATCCAGGTCCTGGTGTAATTAAACAACAGTGGAACCTTGAATTAATGAACCTCTATTTAATAAAGTCTTCAGTTTAACGAACCAATATTCTTTGCCCCAGTAATAGCAGAATATATGGAAAGAAAAGAACCCCAGTATTACAAAACCTCATAATAGGGAAGATATTTTTCCAGTCCCTTGACCCTTCATTATATCTAGGTTCCACTGTACATTCCCGTTATAGGGTGTTTCTTGCATGCAGAAAATCCTAACCAAGTAACATTTAATGAATCACTCAGAGACATTAATTTTGAAAAATTTAGAAAATGAGACGCATCCGTTTCCCAGTCAGCAACAAAAGTGGATGAACCACATAAATTTTTACTTGATGAGAACTTAAGGTATTTTCCCTCCCTGCTAGCACAATTGCAACTGCATCTATAGGGATGATTTTATGAAAACCCAAGCATTAACTTTAGATATAATTTGTACACTGTGAATTGCATTTTGCACACACAATCCCATGCAGTATTTGTACATTTATTTGTGGAAGGGAGGGAGACAATTTGTGCAATTTAACAAACAGATTCCATGTTGCCATGTGTCTGTTCAATAATTGATCACAGAGCATGAGATCAAAATGTGATATGAATCAAAAAGTGGCACAAGAGGTCATAGTTGAATCGGAGTCTGTCACTTATGTTCTTACCACATTTTGACATCTTCTGTGATCTATTACTGAACAGATACACTACAACATGGAATGTATCTGTTTTATATAATAATTGAGCCTGGGGACATGAAAAAGGCCTATATTTCTAACTTAGCAGAAGTCAGCATTGTTGTAGTTTTGGCTTGTAAAGTCTTTCATAAACAAGTGTCCTATGGCAACATACATTTAGAAGTAGGAGAAGAAAGAAGCCATTTCAGATAAATTAATCATTATTTTGCTAACTGTCTTTACTATGAACAAGTCTTGTAAGCTCACGAACTTGAGCTGCATTAGTGTCTACCAAAAGTTCCAACTCCTTGACTTGACTCTGCAGTTCAAGTAATTTTTCATTTTGCTCCTGTTCTTTCATCTCCTCCTTCTTCTTTCCTCTGTTATATTCTAGATACATTAGCGTAGCTGCAACACCAAACACCAGTGTTTCTCCTAGGAGCTCAGCACCGACATCAATGGCTGCTTGTTCACTTAATGGCTGCACTTTATCTGGACCTGAAAGCCCCATTATGCGCATCTTGACATTTGTCTCGAGCCAATGATAGCCTGCCAAGAAGTTCAAACATGTCATGAAGGCTTCAAATATTATCTATTTAACAATAAATTATTAGACTACAAGCTCGCATTTTCTGTGAGCTGATGGGCAGAGAGGTGTAGCCCAGTTGACTATCGCTCGTAGAAAACTAGTGAGACAATCTCAGATAGTGCAGAGTACAATTGATAGCTCTGGAACGGTAGTCCCATAAGTACTCACCCCTGCTCGGTTCACTTCTGGTTTGTATCTACCTTGGTAGTCTGCTAGGGCTTTTTCCCTCAGCAGTGTGTACGTTTCAAGGTTGTATTTTCATTCAAGGTCCGAAAATTACATACAATTACTGTTTGTCATGACAGCTTTTAAATTTTACTCTGGTGCTTTATGATGATTTTCGTTCACATTAAATTCAATAATATGTTGAACAAATGGGACAATTTAGCTCTTCACGCCGACTTTAACTTGATACTTTTCTTTTCCTCACAAAGGTATGTAACATGAATTCTTGTTTTTTCCAAAACACACGGANAACAAATGGGACAATTTAGCTCTTCACGCCGACTTTAACTTGATACTTTTCTTTTCCTCACAAAGGTATGTAACATGAATTCTTGTTTTTTCCAAAACACACGGAAGATGAGCTTGTTTTTGGGGGATAAATGAAAGAAAGTTGAATATCTGACAAAGAAACGGAAGAGAAACGATATTGTTTTTTTCTCAAAACGCAAATTTTCTTATCACAGATGAACAAGAACTAATCTAATTATCAGACATTCACAGAATACCACTTTCTTTTTCTGTTGCCACCTTTGTTGTTAACAATAAAACAATTCAAAATTAATACACAACAATCATGATTGATCCCACTGGGAAGCATTTCAATGAGAATTATTGAAGGTAAACAGCGCTACTTGGCCGATATTATCCTGCATCGGTGAGCGGGTCTCCTCAAAAACTGATTAAATTAATTTGCACTTTCATTAGGTGCCACAGAGTCTGCAGCAACATTCTGCAGCACTTTCCTGGTTTTTTTTGTCACAAATTTACAATTTGCAGAATATTAAAGCCACTAACTGGGGAACTTTTTGGTCTCTCTTACAGACGCAATTAAGGCAAGAAATAAATAAGCCACTAATGAGAAGCTACACATTTCCCTTCTTTATTTAAACCCTGACAAACACACTATTGTACTTTGAAAACAGCAGATGATATTTGTTAAACTGACCTGTGGGTAATTCTAAAAGATACGTTTCACTTTTGCACTAAAAAGGGACAAGTGGTGCTACCTGACATCACATGACATATAAAAAACCACATGGAAACATATATAACAGTTACGATGCTAGAAGGCACACCTCTTACATGTTGGGCTCTACCATAAGGAAAACCACTCAACATTTGTGTTATCCCATATGCAATGTGTCCTCCACCTCATGTGTAGAAGTCACGTACACTAACTAATCTGCGCATGCGTTTAGAGCAAATTGGTTTTGTTCTAAAGAGAATAGTACCACAANAATCTTCCTGCAAAGAATCAAACATTTCTGATACAAATTGGCTAAGATATCTTTCTTCATTATATTTGATGAAAATTTGGTTGAGTGTATGACATCATCACTTGGCTAATTTGCATACTTTAAAAACTTGAATATCTCTGGAACGAAAAGAGATATTTGAAAATATTAAACAGAGTTTTTCTTCTCGTACAGACTACTTGTTTATGTTTTAAAATGGCTTAGATAGGAAAGATGGGATTTTCGTCATAGTACCACTTTAAACAAACATTAAAGTTTGCACCTTAGCGCATCCCAATAGTGAACTCTGCATTAATGAGGGTGAGTAGCCTTATTGTTTTAGTAGAAACTCTAGGGGATTACAACACAAAACTGACAATTTTGTGTATTTTTACACATAAAATTAAGAATAACTTTAAGTTTTAATAGCAACTGCACACAACTAAGTAATTTCTTGATTTATTATATGACTGAGAAAATTACTTCATTGTGATTGGCTGAGAGCAGGCCAATTTATCGTTAATTTTTAATTTGCACTGCAGTGCAAATTAATGCGCGCACGTTTGCAATTTTCCCAGTCATATAATAAATGAGTAATTGTATGAAAGCTCGAGCTATTAAGGATTTACACCAAGGGTGATATTTGAAAATATTTGAGAGAATTTTCAAATATCCCGAGTAGTGTAAATCCTTAATTGCACTTACATTCATACAATTACTTAGGGCACTTTCCATTCAACCAAAAATTCTGGCGTGAATTTCCAGAAATTTCCTGGGACGAAGGGAATAGACTTTCCCGGTTGACTGCACCAGAGTGGAAAACAGTAAGCCCATATTTTTATTCACTTAGAATTTTCCAATAACTTTGAGGTTTAAATCGCAAAACAGAAGCAAACAGAACACTGACATACATCAAAATCGTGACTTTTTATAGACCACAATAGCAGGGAGGTTATACAAACCACAACAGCAGCAAAAACATCACAAACAAAGGGATAATGAGTGGTTCAGTGGTTCTACACATTATAAATCTTCGTACATTTCTTAGGCAGCCTATGCAAAACAAACTAGTACACCACTGCAGCATATTGTTTATTGAAATTGAATACTTTCTTGACGAATTTAGCTGAAGTTAGTATTTATCGACAGACAAGTGACAAGATTCTGAAGTAAAATGTTGATCCATCATCTTTGCATGGGATGTCCAACTCCCTGTTATCGCGGCCAAAAGAACAAGCGCTGAATAGACAATTGCAAATTTACATGATTTCAAGAAAAGAGGACAACCTCCCAAGGTATACCTAAATTTTCGAAAATTTTTTCCTGGAAATTTCCACTCCATTTGATTTTCATCCCAAAATTTCCAGAATTTTCGATTGAATGGTTGGCTTTTCGGAAATTCGACAATTTTCGGAACTTGTCCCCGTTTCGAAAATTTCGGAATTTTTGATTGAATGGAAAGCGCCCCTTCCGCCCCTTTTCTAATCCCTGGGATACGTCCCCAGGTCCCCGCCTATTCCACATATTGCATTATAAATCAACACGTTTTGGTTGAAACCTGTGATTTCAATCGTGCAACTACCTAAACCAAGAAATATGAAGATTAGAGCTTAACTGAATACCATTAAGTTTAACGCTTAACTCTTAAATCTGAGCTGATGAAATATGATGCAACAAAACTAGATAGAAGCTGATAAAGGCTAATAATATTTGGCGTACCTTGACCAGACCAAACACAGACATACTTCTTAAAGAAATCACTTTGCTTGGCTGTCGTCTTTAAACTATTAGCGATTGGTTTGGAGATTTGCTTGATGGCTAAACTTGCCAACTTGAACAACGGAAATGCGCCGACCACCATGGCGCGAAGGTTTGGACATTTACTGCTTCATGTACACTGCCATGAAAATGTCCCAGGTGATGTTTTCGATCCCAGTCCCAAACAGGACAAGGTGTTGCAATCTGAAGAGTTACAGCGAGAGATGATTGGCTAGTAATTCTGCGAACTGTTCAAACAAACAACGCATTGAAATATAAAATAAATACAAGTAGAGGGGTTTATCAGGTTAAAAAATGTTCTCTATGCTTCTCCAAAAACCGCGCGAATGAAAAACTGCACAGAGCTAAATCTTGGCGAGGTTGTTTATATATCAATCATCTATCATATCTCAGATCCTTGACTTAATTCATTTAATGGTTTACGATTTTTATTTTTGATGGCGTGACAGTGTAAACCAACAAGTAAAAAAAGTAATTGGTGATAAATTATAAAAACCTGGAACTGGTTTTAACCACAAGCAACCTTTAGCTGTTTTTTCAACCTTCAGCATTAAAAAAAGTTTTCAGCTTTTTTGTTTTCTACACTTTTGGCATTTCTTCTGTCTATTGCAACATCATAGAGTGCCTTCATAGCAAGCTCCGACTCTACGTATTAAAACACTTTTCAACTCTGACACTGTTTCCCTTTACTAGCTCCTCTAAGTTTTAGTTGGCTTGATGGGGCTTTATTTTCAAAGTTGCCAGTTCCAGGCCTTTCGTTACTGCGCCACAGCTTGGTTCCAAGCGCTCCGAGGCTGGGGCGGATCTAGGCGAAGGTGGGGGGGGGGTCTTCGGGGTTTCGGTCGAACTTCCTAAATTAAAAAAGGTGAGACATTATAATACGCTGACTTGGCCTCAGAATGCCAGAAATCCTACATCTGAGGACCTCCATTTAGGGCCTCCATTTTCCGGGGGAAGGATGCCCCCGGCGGTCCCCCTCGGGGGAGGACGTCTTCGGCAGTCCCCTTCTCGAACTCCCTTATCAAAACTCCTGTATCCGATCCAGCGATGAAATCCTGGTAAATGGAGCTCGTCAAATCTCATACGGAATTTACTTTCATGATTTTTGCACGCTACATGAAGCTGTTTCCACCAGTAAATTGGTACATAACGGGACAGTTTTTCGGCGGAAAACTAAGCAGGCAATCGCATGAATGCACCAAGCTGTGACCAATCCAATGATAATGAACAAAATCGAGAATTAAACTCAGTTTTTAACGATAATTTTAAGTTACAGTCAAAAACCGGAAACCCAAAATTTGAGACACAATTTCATTTAGATCGTAAAGAAAATCTCAAAGTTAAAAATTTGACAGCTGAATATAATGAATCAGCTTAACAGGTATTCATAATAATTATAATAACAATAACTTTATTTAAGAGTTCACACTAAGTAATTAAACTCTTAGAAATATTAATCGCACTGAGTGAAGTGGAAGAAATTTCGATATTATTAATTTAACAACTTCAGTCTTTTAAGCAAAAAGCCAGTAGAATTTTCCATAAGTGGTAAAAACTGTCATTAAAAATATTATTTACAATTAACAGCTTAAATTCAAATTGAAACTCAATTCATTAATAAACAAACATATCAGGTTAGTCATCAAATACCAATTTGATTCCGCTGGGCAATAAGATGCACCTCAATCGAAAGTTAAGTGCTAAAATAGCCTGCAGAACAGGCGGATTAGCGAGCTCTTTTGGATTCTTTCGGATTCACTCGGAATCCGTATTTATTGCTGGGGAAGTAAAGACTTTTGTGAAGTACAGATGTAACCACCACGAAAGGCAGTTAATGCCGAAAATGACAAAAGATATGATTCGCAGTGATGTTTAGCAATATTTTATTAATGTGTTAAGTAAAATTTGTAATGGCCCGTGTCAATTGTCAATTCTAGTTGGTTATTGACGGGCCGACGTATTTAATCTTATCAATGTTTTTTAGCTGAAAATCGTAAGTGTTCAAAGAAATACAAAATTACTTGTTTCTTCAATCGAAAATTTCGCTATAAAAACCAGAAATCAGAAAAACGTTTCTTCTAAATCGAAGATAGTTTCAGCATTGCATTTAAGAAATTTAAAACTGTTTCATTCAAGCATAAAACTGAAGCTGTGGTAATAAGGCTAGACAAAAACAACATATAAACGACAACAGCTACAGAAACTCAAATTTCACCTTTCTTTCGAGTCTTGCCAAAGTTTCACTAGTGTTTCCACGGTAACAAGGAAAGATTGTTTTTTTTAAAAGTCATGTAAAAGAAAGCCGGAAAAACCTTGAAAGCTATAACTGAAACAAAGTTTGAAATTTCAAACGTTTTGTATTGGTTTTCAACGAAACCAGACAAAGCTATTTATTCAAAAACAAATATATTCCTTAACAATTGCGTTTTGCTAATTTAGTAAAGTTCTATATAGTCCTTTTCAAAGCTATAAAATTTAATTCATCCTTTCGACCTAATCTGTGAATCAAATTTTGAGCCCCATAGATTGCTTTGCCTCTTTTGAATGCAAAAATAAAACAACAATACAAGCTAATGGAAGAAAGAACCTATCACGTTTTTGCGCAACAAGGAAAATCATTTTCACTCGGCATGAACTCGAGTTTTGCGCTTGACTGTCTGAGTTCATTGACTATAAAAGAATTTATTTATCTAGGAAACCATCAGGAAATATTTGATCATTTATATCTAGCACTGTTTAGAATACTTGTGACAAAGATCCATTAATTTGCAAAAACGATTCACAATATTTAAGCGTCTCCTTAAAACATAATCTTCACCTAATTTTGTGGTAGTTCGTTTTACGATTTTACATAATGGCCGTTTGAAAGCTTTAATCCTGAAGTAAAATAATATAACACCGTCAGTGAGATAGTTAATCAACTAATCTAGAACGTATTGAACCAACGGAACAAGAAACTAGATATTGTAATGCAAAACAAGGATCACTGATTCCTGGCTGGCAAGAATGACTACATCTGAATAACGTAAAGCATGGGTCGCCTAACGATCAGGAAAAGTCCTTCGGTTTAGGTCTTTGAAACATAAATAGCTCGTGTGCAATTACTTAGTGTATATCACACAAGCGTGTAGTGTTTTCACGCGTTCTGCTTGGTTAACTCGAAAATGATAAGCAACTACTATTCGCACCAGTCCCTTACTTAAGCGAGTATAAATAAGAGCTCTGCATCTCATTTCACTTCAGTTCGAGTAAGAATCCTTTGGCTGTTGGCAGCTGCAACATGTTGTCTCTCTTCAGTCTCGCTTGCTTCTCCACGCTACCGCGCTTCTCATCACCCCTCCCTGCCTTTCCCTATCCTTTAAACACTTCCAACTCGCGCCAAAATCGAACTACAACAAAATCTAGAACTTAACATAATTTTTAACGGTAACTTTCAATTACATGAAAAGTTGTTTGAAGAGGAAAAACCCGACAAAATTGTATACCCAATAACATGTAAAACTGATTTAGGAGAGATCCTGCAGGAAATCCCCTCCGTTGTTGAAAATGGGACACTTGAATACAAAGTAGTTCAATACAATAAAAATTTCCGCATTGTGTCATTCAAACCAAAGAACTGATTTACCCCTATAAAGACCTTTAAGCTTTCTGTCAACTTTACATCTGATTTATTTAATCCCTACTTTCCAGGCCGGTGCCTTGTAAAAGAACATCAAAGGATAAAATTTCTCAACTTGAAGTAGCCGGCAGCGTGAGTTTGCAGTATTGAAGGCGAAAATTGCGGTGAATCATTTGAGATCCTACCTTTCAATGTAGAAGAAAGATGAATTTCACCTCTACCTCAAACGTTACTAAAAACAGTTGCAGAGTCTTTCTCATGCCAGAGTACATCCCACAGTTTTTTCTTGGTGATTTGGACGTTTTCTTTGTCGTAGCAGCTGTCATTGAATCGTTATCTTGTCCTTTTACCGTTTTGTTTAACGCCCTGGTAATTGTGGCCGTGAAAACCAAACGAAGACTACAAACACACCTTAACATTCTGTTGGCAAGTTTGGCGCTTACTGATCTGATGGTGGGTCTTGTTGTACAACCGCTACACATAACCACCACTGTTTTTCATCTTCAAGGCAAAAGCGCTAATGATGTTTGCAAAGCAATGTGGGCATTTCTCATCTCCTTTCTCAGTTTCTCCGCTGCATCGCTTTTCCATCTGGCGTTAATTAGCGGAGAGCGATATTTGGCCATTAAACATCCTTTTATTCATGGAACTGTGGTCACTAAACGTCGCCTAATGACCGCTACCATCCTTGTGTGGGGTGTTGTACCATTACGAGTCGTTTTAGTAAATTTGCGCGCCATTTCACTTATTTTTCAAGGAGTAATTGTTTTTTTGATCGTCTTGTTTCAAGTTCTTGTCTACCAAGAGGCCCGTCAGCACGAAAAACGGATTCTCTCTCAACAAGTTTCCTTAGAGGCCAGAGCGAAATTTGAAAAGGAGAGGAAAGCCTTAAAGTTAACGACCACAATAATATTAGCAATTGGCTTGTGTTACGTTCCAACATTCATATTAGTGCTCATTACAGGTCGGTTAATGCATAGTGTATCATACGCTCTGGGAAGTTCTTTTTATCACGTATCCGTTCTACCGATGATTTTCAACTCACTTCTTAATCCGGTCATTTACACAGTACGAAAGAAACAATTTAGAATCGCTTTTATCGAGTTGATTTTGAAGAAGGATTTTCAAGGAGCCAAAGAAATGGAAAGAAGATTGTTTGGATCGCCAAATAATGTTGAGGAGACTGATGTTACACGACGAAGCAGAGCATGGCAGCAACAGACCCCTTAGGGAGTCTCACCAATCCACGATCCAGTCCTGTGAAGCTCTCTTCACTGATGCCAATTCACTATAAAAAAAAAGTCTGTGAACATCATTACCTTTGGGCAGTAAGAACACGTCGGAAAGCGAAGCAAGTTTTTTTCCCTGGCTCCTGTCGCCAACCTGGTGGTCCATCTTTGCCGCTAGCATATGAGACAGGGAAGTCTATCATAGCAATTAAAAGTTATCCCCTCAAATGCACGCAACGGTACATCTAAAATGACAAAGGT